TCCATCCATCCATCCATCCATCCATCCATCCATCCATCCATCCATCCTTTCATCCATCCATCCATCCATCATTATCGTTACCCGCTTCTTCCTTTTTGGGTCACAAGGGTCACTGGTGCCCATATCCAGCCATCACTGTGTGAGAGGCGGGGGACACCATGGACAGGTCTCCAGTCCATCACAGGGACACATAAGAGACAAACAAGACAAACAACCATTCACTCTCTCACTCTCACCCAGGGACAATTTAGAGTTACCATCAGTCTAACATGCATGTTTTTGGTCTGTGGGAGGAAACCAGAGTACTTGGAGAAAATCCACGCATGCACAGAGAGAACATGCAAACTGCACTCAGAAAGGTCCCTGGCCGGGATTTGAACCGGCGACCTTCTCGCTGAGAGGCAACAGCTCTACCAACTGCACCACTATGCGTCCCAGAACAGAAAGGGTTTGTCTGAACAGTGTTTAGATGTGCTGGGTGTTTGGACCTGTTTCAGTCTCTTGACTTCATGCTCCATTTCCAGCTCCCTGGCTTTTGCATTAATCTCAGACAGCCCCTTTCCTTTCCCAGGATGCTCCAGTTCCAACTTGAACAACTGCAGATATTCCACCTCCCTGCGGAGATCATCAATCAGCTGAAATACATGAAAAAATGAACGTCAACGTCTCCTAAAATCTTTAATTTGAACTTAACGTTCTAGGTCAGATGTTAGTGTCACCTCCTGCATGGACTCCTTCTCCTTCTGGAACAAGTGGCGGTTATGCCACAGCTTGTCCATGATGGTTCTGTACAGGTCCATCTCATCTCTCAGCCTCAGACTGGTGTCCTCCATCTGCTCTGTCATTCTCTGCTTCTCCTGCAGAATACAGAAAGAGGTATGGTTGGAAATCAAAAAATCTCTGAAGCCGATAAAAAGAAACCAGAGAAACCTCACCGAGGTAACTGTTTCCAACCAAGACCGACAGAAATTTGAACTGATCAAAGAAACCTTGAAATGTTTAGCAGAAAGCCTTCAATGTCACATGAAACGTTCCAGATCCTAAAAATATTGCTTCATGAAATCAACAAAACAAAAGAGCTAAGGCCATTGGCTAAAACATGAATGAATTACATCTCTTCACCACTCGTGGGAAGAACTAAATGAGTCTCAGGAGCAAAACTGCTCAGAGATCTCTTCTGGTTTTTGATAACAAGCGGTGCACTGACTTTTTTCACAGTAAATGTTTATAGTTTTTGAAATGAGTGTTTTTTGGACAAGGATTGAACAGAGAGTGAAAGTAAACCTTCATGTTGTTGTGAGATAAAAGAGAAAGGAACTTTTCTGACAGGTGCAAATCAAATAATTTGAACATCGTGAAAAAGTTCAATATTTTTGTCCATCATTTCAGAAAGTGAAACATATATTCATTACACAGAGTGAAATATTTCAAGCCTTTGTTTCTTGTAATTTTGATGATTATAAATTACAAATAATGAAAAACTAAAATTCGGAGTGTCAGAAAATAAGAATATCACGAATAGGTTCAATATTGTAAACTCCTGGTGTCACAGCCTGATCAGCTGATGAACTCCTCAACATGAGCTACAAACGTCTCATTCCTCAAGTCCAGACACCCCTGAACCAGAGACAACATCAGAAGTGTCTTACCTGCTGAGGACACAAAGAACTGGACTGTTGCTCAGTGGTCCAATGTCCTCTTTTCAGATTAAAGTTAATTTAGCATATTTAGAGTCTGGAGGAAGAGTGGAGAGGTCCAGAATCCACGTTGTTGAAGTCCAGAGAGAAGTTTCCACAGTCGATGATGGTTTGGGTCCATGTCCTCTGCTGGTTCTGGTCCACTGGGTTTAGTCCACGCAGCATCTAGCAGGACATTTTAGAGCTCTTCATGCTTCCTTCTGCCAATGAGCTTTATGGAGAAACTGGTTTAATTTTCCAGCAGGACTCGACACCGGCCCACACTGACAAAGGTACCAACAGCTGGTTCTGGATCATTCTCATTTTCTGAAACACTAAAGTTTAGTTTTTCATTTTTTGTAAGTTATAATCAACAAAACTACAAGAAATAAAGGATGAAATATTTCACTCTGTGTAATGAATCTATGTAATATCCTGATGCATGCTCAATAATCCAGGTAGAAAAATCAAAAAAAGTTCAATCTGGTCCTCTGGACATTCAAAAAAAACAAAAGCAAAACAAAGCAAAAAAAATCTAGAAACGTTTCGTCTCTCATCCGAGAGACTTCCTCAGTCTGAGGTGCTGTTTTCAGCTCAGTCTCTTAAATAGCACCTTCTTAGAGTGGATCAACCAGTTTTGCTGCTGACAACCAAAACCAGCTGATCACATGCTCAAGAAGGACCATCAGCCTAACAATGGATCATTAGCACACTGATGGCTGTTTACTATTCACAGAGGGTTGAGTGATACTAGCAATCACAGCATTGTAAGAGGGGGACAGTTGAACCCGGAGGCCTCCACCCCTGTTTAA